TTTTACTTTATTTTTATATTGTCTATTTTTTATACCTTTAAAGAATTTTCCAAATTTATTGATTTTTTTGTTTGGTGGATCTGACATCAGCCAAATTACAAAAAACATTGTTTTTTACTTTATTTTTATATTGTTTATTTTTTATTTCTTTAAAGAATTTTTAAAATTTATTGATATTTTGTAGTTTTTTATTTGGCAGTGATGCCAGATCAGGCATTTTTTCCTTGGTTCTAGGAATTTTTTGAAATTTCCTCAAAAATCTAGGATTTTTTTAGTTTTCAATAAAAACATCAAAATTTTTCAGCTTTTTTCAACCTATCACACATTAAACAAAGATAAAAATTACAAAAAAAAACATTGTTTTATTAAAAAAGCCAGGTGTCATTTATTTTTTTATTGTTTATTTTTTTATTTCCTTAAAGAATTTTAAAAATTTATTGATTTTTTGTTCTTTTCTTGCTTAGCAGTGATGCCAGATAAGGCATTTTTTTCCCTAGTTCTAGGGATTTTTTCGATAAAATAAGAAAAAGAAATTTTTTCAAATTTCCTCAAAAATATATGATTTTTTTAAATTTTCAATAAAAACATCAAATTTTTTTAGTTTTTTTTTCAATATAATACATATTAAACAAAGACAAATATTACAAAAACAAAAAACATGTCTTTTTGTGAAAATTACTTCAATGATCATACCGAGTGAATAAAAAGTATGGAACCAAGCATTTTTTTCGTAAACTAAGCACTCTACGAAAAAAAATAATTAGTGTAGCGCAAAGTACAATTAAAATGTGACCATTTATCAAGAATAACGTTTTTCGAAATTTCTTTTAGTTTTCGAGTTATGGAAAAAAAATTTTTTCTTTTAAATGGCAACCCACCATGGTAATTTTTTTAATTAAAGATTATGATCTAAAAATGACCTCTAATTAAACAGAATTGATTTTTACTCAGTACTTTTTTTTTAATAAATTTTTAAAGTTGCGTTAAAATTTCTATTTTTTTAATAAACTGTGAATTTTGCCAATTTCTATCAAGTTCATTCTTTATAATCAAAATTCTGAACTTAATAATACATTTTATAATAGCCAGTCAAAAAAAAACAAATTTTTACCTTTGATTTTACGCCAAAAAAGCAGATGTTAAACTATTTCTTTAAAAGCTCTTTGGAGTAGATAAAGTAACACTTTAACTGCAAGGGTTGTTTTTGCTTTATCTGAAACGAGCAAAACAGTAATTAAAACTTCATTATTCTGACTCAGTGGAAAGAAAAGTTAATTTTTTTCTTACTTTTGGACTTGTAATAATAATCTTTCTTTGCTTTTCAAGTCCCATCACATTGGCAATTTTATTTTTTGACAACGATGTCACTTTGACAATTAATTAATTAATTGAATGTGTTAAAAATGACTGTTTTTTTAGAAGCTGTTTTTTTTTGACTTGCCACTTATTAAAATTATGTTTTTTTACAAACATTTTTGTTATTTATCTTGCGTTACTTTATCTGTCAAAACGACATCGTTGTCAAAAAAATAAAACATCAATGTGATGGAATTTAAATTTTTTTTTTTTAATTTCTCAAAAATCTAGGATTTTTTTAGTTTTCAATAAAAACATCAAATTTTTTGAGCTAATACATATTTAACAAAAACAAAAATTTTAATTTTATATTGTTTATTTTTTATTTCCTTAAAGAATTTTGAAAGTTTATTTCTTTTTTGTTGTTTTCCTGTTTAGCAGTGATGCCAGATAAGGCATTTTTTCCCTAGTTGTAGGGATTTTTTCGACAAAATTAGAAAAAGAAATTTTTTCAAATTTCCTCAAAAATCTAGGATTTTTTTAAATTTTCAATAAAAACATCAAAATTTTTCAGTTTTTTGTTCAATATAATACATATTAAACAAAGACAAATATTACAAAAACAAAACAGTTTTATTACAAAATCCAATTTTAATTTATTTTTATATTGTTTATTTTTTTATTTCTTTAAAGAATTTTTCAAACTTACTGGTTTTTTGGTGTTTTTGTTTGGCAATGATGTCAGATCATGCATTTTTTATATCGTAATAATTTTGCAATAATTAAGCAACAATTTGAATTTAAATAAATTCTAAATCGGAGGCATTAGTGCAGAAAGCAGGAAAGTTATTGTCTGTAACAAAAAAGTTGACGTGACAGAAAAATTAAACAATTATTTTTGTTTAATTAAAGGTAAGTTAACATAAAAATAATAATTCGATTAAAGGTACATTAAACATGTTATTGTTTGTAGACTATATTATTATTAATTATTACAAGCTCAAAATCAAGAGAAAAATGAAATTTTCTTTCCACTGAGTAAAAATAATGAACTTTTAAAATTACAGACTTACTGGTTTCAGGTGAAGCAAAAATGGTTTTTTCTTGCAGTGTTAGCATAAAATAAAAAATATCCGGGGACATACTGTATAATATTAGTTATTATTATTATTATTATTATTATTATTATTATTATTATTATGGCATTAAATTTACCATTTTCGGTTTTTTGCTTTGTTTAGAAGTAATAAAAATAAATATAAAAAACGGAAGAAACTAGCTATTTGTTAATAAAATTAACAACTTCCTAAATAAGGGTCTTTCGACATATTATCTAATTTTTTTGCAACAAAGCGCAGTGTGAGCAGAAAGTTAGAGTGGTGAATAGTTTTTTCCCCGGGTGTACCCACTTGGCCATGACAATTTTTTGTGTTTCAGGGGGCCAACATACAGACGATTTTCCCCACAGATGACGAGAAAATACTGAATGAGGCACAGGAGTTGGCACGCGAGGCGAAGTCGAGTCGACAATTCACTGATGTTAACAAATTTACACTCAAATGTATGAATTGTAATGTTTTTTTAAATGGACAATTGCAGGCCAGGGAGCATGCGCAGACCACGGGACATACCAACTTCGGAGAGGTCTAGCCCTGACCTGGAATTTCAAAACGCTAGATTTTTTATTGGATTATTGTACTAATTTATTAAGAAGTAAATAACACTAATTTATATCGAGTTGTTTCATTTTTTCATGCAGAAATACATTACAGGAATCTGTAATAAGGCAAAAAATAATTAAACCAATTAGTTACAAAGACGTAAATCAATTATTATGACGTAAATAATGCTAGGTGTTTCATTTGCCGATTTTTTACAATGATTTTTCTTTAAAAAAAATTACAGAAATCTGTAATCGGCAAAAATAATTAAGACAAATGACGGTAGAATAGATCAAAATCAGTCAAACCCACTTATTAATTGATTAATTAAACGTTCAAGGTAATTTTTAATTGTCAAAACAATTTTGGAACTACCAACGTTTCATTTCAACATCCAAATGAGGAAAAATATCTCTCATCGTTTGATTACATTTCTTTTAAATTAAGTTGGCAACAGTGAAAAACTCTACATTGTTGTCAAAATCATGGGCCACTTTGATGCAGTATGGTGTTCCAAAAGTCTGGAAATGATGTTATTATGGCGAAACTATCAAATTTTAATGCCCTTTCTTTAATTTATGTAATAAATATTTTAATATTTCTTAAAAAAAACTGTTAATTTGTTTTCAAAAAGTAATGGCATTATTTTGTAGTTCCAATTTATATTATAATTTTTATCGCTTTCTGTTTTCGATTCACTGTGATAATAGGTTTGAGACGCCATGTTGAAAAATGGCGCTGACATATTGTTGATTCAAAATTTGTTTATTACCCAAAACCAAACAAAAACACCCAGTGTATTCATTATTCCATATTGAAAGATCAAATCCCTGTTTTGTACTTGAAAAAATTTAATTTTTTGTAAAAATTTTAATTTCGGCCATATTGAGCCGCCATTTTAAAAAATGGCGATGACATATTGTTAATTGGTAATTCAATTTTCAATTTCTATAATAATTTTTATCGCCTTCTGTTTTTAATTCATAGTGGAAATAGATAACAGTGTTTATTTTGAGACGCCATATTGAAAAATGTCGCTGACATATTATTGGTTCAAAGTTTGTTTAATAAAATTTCCCATTCTTATAATTTTTATCGCTTTGTATTTTTATATATACTGGAAAAACATTTTATTTCGTCTACTTTGAGTCGCCATATTAAAATATGGCGCTCTGCTGTTCAGGGGGACAGTGGCGTGCGCCACTTTTAACTAATTTAAATGGCCCAAAATTGGACCAAAGAGGCGAAATAGCACCCGGGTCGCTCCCAGGAGCCCTTTTCCCACCTCGGTCATATTTTTTCGACCAAACTGGGCCCCAATTTGAGGTTTTTTGAGGAAATTTGACGCATCTAGAGGTTAGATCTGTCAAAAGTGACAGTGCGCGAAATTCAAAGTTTAATTATTTTTTGCGTTTTTGGGGGGTCAAAGCGCACAATAATTATAAAATGTTTCTACGAGTAATGCCTGCGAAGGCTAGATTTTGAATTACTGTTTTTTTTGAATTTTAATATAATAATAGCGACCGGTAAAAAAAATAATTCTGGTGCAACTTTTTTAAAAAAATTGGCCGTTTTTAACTTGTTTTTATGGAAAATTGTTCGGTGAACTGAAATTCGTAGAGAAAAGCAAAAAATCTGGTTTAGGTATTACCAACCCAAATTTGAATTGCTTATTTTTGAAAATAAATAAGAAACGGAGGCCTTAATAAAGTTGATTGCGTTTGATAGAAAATGACGAGAGGATTCCAAATATACCAAATTCTTTAGCATACATTGAGTATTTGCGGAGTTACGCCCCAAAACGCGTTTTAGTGACTTTTAACCTGCCAAATTTCCCCAAATTAGTGACAAAATTATCAACAAAACACCTCTTTTTCTTTCTTTGGAAAAATCGTTTAACTGAAAATGGATAAATTTGATCAGTTTTATTGACAGTTATTACCAACATGAACTAATTTAGTGACAAACAAATGTCAACTAAAATAGCACCCGGGTCGCTCCCAGGAGCCCTTTTGCCACCTATGTCATATTTTTTCGACCAAACTGGGCCCCAATTTGAGGTTTTTTGAGGAAATTTGACACATCTAGAGGTTAGATCTGTCAAAGTGACAGTGCGCGAAATTCAAAATTTAACCATTTTTGCGATAAAAAATTAATATTAATTAATTGTGGTTATTGGGGTTCAAATCAAATAATAATAAAATTTTTCTACGAATAATGAGTAGAATTTGAGTCATTGTTTTTTTTTGTTGTTTTATAAGTTTTACATACATATTTAACTTTTTCCGGTTTTTTGGATAGTTAAAGGTTTTTTTTTTGAAAATAAATTGTTTGAAAATGTCGAATTCATGGCTGAAACATAATTTTTTTTTTACAACTAATAACAAATAATGACCGGTTAAAAAAAATATTCTGGTGCTACTTTTTTTTTTTAATTGGCCGTTTTTAACTTGTTTATATTTAAAATTGTTCGAGGAACTGAAATTCGTAGAGAAAAGCAAAAAATCTGGTTTAGGTGTTACCAACCCAAATTTGAATTGCTTATTTTTGAAAATAAACAAGAAACGGAGGCCCCAATAATGATAAAAAATGACGAGAGGATTCCAAATATACCAAATTCTTTAGCATTCATTGAGTATTTACGGAGTTATGCCCCAAAACGCGTTTTAGTGACTTTTAACCTGCCAAAATTTCCCCAAATTAGTGACAAAATTATCAACAAAACACCTCTTCATTGCTTTGGAAAAATCGTTTAACTGAAAATGGATAAATTTGATCAATTTTAGTGACAGATATTACCAACATGAACTAATTTAGTGACAAACAAATGTCAACTTAAAAATAAAATAGTTTTTATTAAATCTGATTGGAAGAAACACAACAAGGTGTAAAGTTGGTTTAAGGGCATTAGTTAAGTATTTTTCCTTAGTTTTATTTGTGTACCAACTTCTAGTTCCAAAAATTACTAGATGTCAAAAAATGCCAAAAACGCGGTAGTTTGTGTTTGGTGTCGTAGTCAAAGTGAAATGTGAACGGAAAACTCGTTTTTTAGTCATTTTTCGTGCCAAAATCCCCTTTGCGCCGCCCCTGTGCTGTCATTTCGTTGTTTTTGTGCGCCCTCTGGCGGCCATTTTGTGGCACTACTCAGTCATGTAGGTTATGTCGTGGGAAGTAGGTAGTGTTCGTGTGGCGTGTCTCTCAACGAATAATAATAAATCAATGCCCGGTGACTATGTCTGAGGAACTGTTGGTGGTTCTAAATCGTAGTGAAAACTCCGGTTTCGGTTTTTCCCTGTTGGGAAAACCAGGCCTGCCACCCATCATCTACAACATCTTGGACGATTCCCCGGCCGCCGAGAGCGGAGAGGTGAGCAATATCAAGCAAGCGTTGGGGCGATGCCTGTCAAAACTGCATTACCGGCCCCAGGCACACTCGATTTTCGAAAAATTGCAGATGACGTTGCACCATCTGCTGCATTGCGGACGCTTTTCCGGGTGAAAAACGCCGAAAAGACGACATCGAAGTGTGCGTGGATGATAAATGTCAAATTTGACGTTTGTTTGTTATGGTGTTATCTAGTTGGCCGAAAGCCTACTCGATACGATCAATTTTTGATTATTACGACGCCATCTTGCATTTAATTAATGCCATTTGGCAATTGTTTATTATTTATGGGTTTCAGCGCCACCTGGGGCCTTAATTACGCAAAAATTGACCAAAATTTTAGAAATTGCTACAGTCAAAGGTCCTGCGATTATACTTTCCACTGTGTAATTTTATTCTTTCGAAAACTTATTAAAAATTTTTTTTTCTTTTTTTTGCCCGATCGATTATTTCAAGGTTTTTGATTTATGAACTGTTTAAAACAGAAATGACGAATTTGCAAACTTCCAAGAGAAAAACCTTCAAACTTCATCAGATGCTTTCTATATTTAAACCCCGACATCAATAAAGTAGGCTTTGAGTCGAAGCAGGCTCGAAGATTATGATTTATTGTTTATGCATAGGTTGCTTGATGTCAACCGGGGATTTTTGTCGACGAAATACCGGAATTTATAAAGTGATTTGTATTCGGAGGAGGCTTGATTGAACGTTGTTTTATGCAAATTCGGGGCGGAATTCGATTTTTGCTCATTGCGTTACGGTTACGTTACGTTACGTTTAACATTGATACGTTATGTCTAACTACTAAGTACAGTAACTTGATTTCGCACCAAACGCTTCAATTGCATTTTGACAAATTATTTTTATACCATTACGGTTACGTTACGTTATTTGTTAAATTATTGGGGGTCAAATATAACCTCTTCTCTTCATTACTTTACGTTATGTTTATGTTAATTTAGACTATGTTAAGGCACACTTGCACAATTTCTGTGTTTTATGTCTTGCGTGTAACCTTAAGGTTACGTTAGGTTTAAAAAAAGAAAAATAGATGTGTTGCGTTATGTTACGTTATGTTATTGCGGTTACGTTATGTAACTTAGGTAACATTACGTTTGTGTTGTTTTAAAGTCTGGTTTATACGAAAACCTCTTAAATTCATTACTTTACGTTAAAGTTGCGTTTATTTGTACTATTTTTGGGCAATCTTGCACAATTGAATTCTTTGATTTGTTTATTTCTACAGTTACGTTACGTTTCTTGCTAATTTGATACGTTACGTTATGGTATAATCGTTACGTTTAACTACTAAGTAAAGTAACTTTACCTTTGCGTTTTTTTAATTTCTATAATCCTGTGTTACAATTGTGTTTTAAGAATTATTTGGGAGTCAAATATGGCGATATAAAGTATGGTTTACACTATTTATTACTTTACGTGCTAGTTGCGTTATTATGCAAGTTTGCATAGTTTTAGTCTTTAAATTATTTACTGTTACGTTACGTTTTGTGCAAATTTGATGTGAAGTGCAATATTTTCATAAAGTAGGCTCATTGCGTTACGTTACTTTATGCTAATGCGTTTACGTGATGCATTTTTTATTTCTTTTCTTACTTAGAATTGCGTTATGTCAAATTATTCTGTTAATATACGTTACGTTACGATATGTTGGTGTTATTACTTTACGTTGTAAAGTCTATTACGATAGCAAAAAAACGTAACTTTACGTTGCGGTCTAATATAACCTCTTCTCTTCATTACTTTACGTTATGGTTACGTTATGGTATGGCAGTTGCGTTATGTAAGTATTTTGCGTTGGTTTACTTCTTACCTTAGGTTACAATCTCGTTTTAAGGGTCAAATGTGACGATATAAAGTCTGGTTTACACAAAAACCTCTTAAATTTATTACTTTACGATAAAGTTGCGTCGATTTGTGTGCAAACTTGCACAATTTAATTTTTTGAATTTTTTACTTCTACGGTTACGTTACGTTTCATGCAAAGTTGATGCGAGATTTGTATTGCGTTATGTTACGTTATGACATTAACCGTTACGTTTAACTACTAAGTAAAGTAACTTTACGTTTGCGTTTTTAATTTCTTACCCAAAGTTACATTGTGTTTGGGATTCAAATATGGCGATATAAAGTATTGTTTACACTATTTATTACTTTACGTGCTAGTTGCGTTGTTATGCAAGTTTGCACAATTTTAGTCTTTAAATTATTTACTCTTACGTTACGTTACGTTGTGTGCAAATTTTATGTGAAATGCGATATTTACTAAAGTAGACTCATTGCGTTACGTTACTTTATGCTAATGCGTTTAGGTGATGCATTTTTTGTCTTTCTTTACTTAGAATTGCGTTACGTCAAATTGTGTTAATTTACGTTACGTTCCGTTGGTATCGTTACTTTACGTTTTAAGGAAAAAAAATGTAATTTTACGTTACGGTTGCGGTTAATTGGAACATTCTGCGTTCTGGAATATGTTTGTAAATACAGTTATTAAGTTACGTTCCGTTACAGTTACGTTTATAGCCCACTTTACACACATTGTCACAAATAAATTGAGTGTGAGAGTCTATTTTCGATCAATTCGTAACCATAAGCCGTAACGTTTCACTTCCACGCCTTCTGCGATTTTATTAGCAATTTAAATGACTCGAGTAAAATTCTCATTCGTTTAAAAACATCCATTTTCGCCTCGATTTTCCGATAATAACTATGAAAAAGATCTCTTCCAGTTCGTTAAAGTGGTACTCAACATTTCGCTCACCATTTTAATAGAATTACGATTTTAAAACAGATAAATCATAGATATTTATCGCTTTCAAAAAAATCTTGTTCCATAATTAAAGCTTACATTTTTTTGTTTCAAACGAATTTACATTTAAATATCCACGTGTTGGGGAAAAAAAAATGAATGTCGGCACGTAATTTGATTAATTCATTACGCAATAAAAAGCGAGTTCATATTTGTCAAACAAATTAATTCCGTTGCGTGCAACTTTGTGAAGAATGAGAGTGATTACGGAGGCGGAAAAATCGAAATTTCGACAGTTGGCACCACTGGTAATTCTACTACCAGTCTTGGAAAAAACATATATAAAATTTCAACAAAAATAAATAAAAAATAAATTGACATTTGTTATTAAAGCACTCAAATGAGTATATAAAAATTCAACATCATTAAAGCACTCAAATGGGTGCTTTAATAGAAAAAAAAACATAAAAAACTTTAATGTTAAAGCACTCAAATGAGTGCTTTAATAGCAAAATAACTTGACATTTGTCATTAAAGCACTCAAATGGGTGCTTTAATGGAAAAAAAAACATATAAATATTCAACATCATTAAAGTACTCAAATTTGACATTTGACTAATTTGACATTTGTCATTAAAGCACTCAAATGAGCTTTCACAAAATAATTTGGCATTTGTTATTAAAGCACTCAAATGGGAAAAAACATATATAAAAATTCGACATCATTAAAGCACTCGAATTTGGGATTTGATTATTTGACATTTGGCATTAAAGCACTCAAATGGGTGCTTTAATAGCAGAAATTGGTTTTAGTTTCTGATTAATTAGTTGATTAGGCATTGGCCGAAAACGGTGCTTTAATGTCCATTTCAGCACTCGAATGAGTGTTTTAATGGAAATTTCGCTTAAAAAAGAGCTAAATTCCCCTAGTTTTCGCCCTAGATCTTTGCAGCTTTAACCACTTCATAAATATGAAATGTTAAACGGATAGAACGGTCTTCTCCGTGCGGATTACGACGCCATATAGATGGAAAAGGACGACGCCGTCGTCGCGGCGCCTCGCCAATAATTCATCTCGACCAGTTTTACTCGAATTACTCAACTCTTCGTTGATTTAATTTAAAGAAAAACACAGTTTTTTCACGTATTTTTGTTTCGAGTTTTTATCACAAAGGCCGAGGCTGACGGTATCTCTTTATCATTTCGAACGATAGGACTTCCGCTTCCAACGGTGTATTTGTAATGAGGAAACACTCGTGACGTCAATAATGGAACAAAAGAGGGATTCAGGGGAAGGAGGATTTTCCAAGGGTTCTGAATCTGTAACTAGAATTTTTCCACGACGAATAGGGCCCAAAATATGGGCAAAAACGTAAATCACATATACCTAAATCGAGCCTTCAAGGTCAAACTAAGGCCCAAATTTGCAAATTGATGTTATTTTTGGTATGAGGAAGGCCGAAATTGTCGGATTTCATTGAAAAACACGAAACCAGAACTTTTCACATGGACTCAAATCCGGCAATTTTGGGGTCAAAATCCCCTATTAAGGTCATATTCTGGGCCAGGAGGGTGAAAATAGTGAGAAAACCTCATCAAACGTCAAACCAAACGTTTTCACTTGGACTCAAATCGGGTCATTTTGGTGGTCAAAAGTGCAAAAACTGCGTCATTGATGATTACAGAAAGTTGTAAACGGCAATAGTAGGTCAGTAATGCCTCAAGGCGCCGTCCTCGGCCCTAATTTCTTATCAAGAAACATAGAAATTGTCATTTTTACGAAAATATTTACATTCATCTTCGAAATTTTCTAAATATTTGATTAGATCGCAGTCGGCGTCGTTCATTGATCTCGTCTGTGAAAGCAAACAAATTACAATATTAAACAAATTGCTGTATGTTTTCTTTTTTAATTATGGCGACCGTCACGTGACCCTGCATACAAATGGCGCGATTTCATCCCTCGCCAATTAATTTTAATTTAGTTGGCAAAACTGCAAATTGAGGGATTTATTATTGACATTTGTGAGTTGTTTTTTTGGCCACTCGGTTGTGTTTACACTTGTACGAAAATAAACGTTTTTATTATTATACACACATCTGGTAGCTCATTTTTTGACATTTATTAAGACGTTTGAACGGTCGAAGGCCGATATTGCAAAATATTACCAACTTGGAGTAATAATATAAATTACAACAACGTAATAATTTAATTTCCAATTACGGTAAATCAAGGCTTGCTCAATACGAATCGAATGCAATTTACAGAAATTCGATATCTCAAACCGTTCCAGAGATATCGCCACTTGTTTTTTTAATGCCTCATCCGGTATGTTTTATACAAGATGTCACAATTTTTAAACAACTGGCTCCAATTTCGTTATTTATCAAGATATCGGACCGGGGTTTTGTAGTTATGTCATTGTGATTCCAACCGATATTCGTTTGTTTTTTCGAAGCAATCTGGAAGACTTTGTGTGTGCTTGCAGTATGACCTAAATAATGTAACAATGTAGTTATCGATCGTTTAACCAAGTCCATAGCTTACTAGAATCGCACCAAAAACGCATTATTAAACAAGATTTAAAATCAAATACTTGACACTTGTGAAGAAGTTTCAAGTGCGTGACTCGCTTCGTCGTTACGTAAACTCAAACGACTCGTAACGACACCGAAAACTTCGTAATTGCTTTTTTACATTGTTTGTATTGATTTATTCGAGCTTTGCACGAGACGAAAATCTGATAAAATGTGTCATACGGTATATTATATACCTGGTGTTCGAAAAGATCTATTAATTTCTCTCGGATTGTGAGTTACTTTATAGGATCTGGAGAGTCGTATTAAATGATATACTTCGAGGCTTTGCTTTCTGGAAACTGGGAACTCTTTTATTGAACGAAATGGTGGAGTTTTAATAAGGAAATCTATTGTAACCTATCCACAAAGAGTTTTATCCTCTAGGGTGAAAAATTAAATAATTCACTCGCGCGTAGCTTATTAAAAATTAAGTTGGCCGTGAAGGGAATACAACTGGAGACGTCACTTGTGTCCCTAAACCGATTACTTTTTACCAAAATTCGATCACTCGCTTCGTTTACAATTCACAGGTGTGTCCATATTTGTTGACTCACCCGGTATGCTACAAAAATTTTTCTTTCGTTTGTAATTTCTTTATTTTTTATCGGATTTTGACCGAATTTTCGGCGGCGGTTAGCGTATGGCGGCTTCTATCACGCCGCCGGGGGCGGGAGCGGCGGTGGGGGCGGCGGTCCTTACTGCGGCACCGCTTCGAAGTATCGAAGTCTGTGTTTACTGAGAGCGCTTTGGGTGTGACCCAGTTGTGTCGTCCCGCCGCCAGTCACAGTCTAGCCGTCTGTGGATGTGCGTCGGTGGCGTTTCAAGGCGTTTTTCACGTGTAATGAACTGATAAGCGATAAGACTGTGATCGTTTTTTGTGGGTGCACCTGTGGGATATTTATTCTCGAAGACAGTTGAAAATTTATTTTTAGGCCGGTAGGTGGGACCTTGAAATGGAATTTTTACGTACTAGGGAAATAATACTATACAAGAATCGAGTTACCGGTGTAATTTCATAAGCACACGTGATTTTTTAATTTTAAAAATACCGAAACTGGACTATTTCCGTCCTAGTTTTTTAATGGGAAGAGACAGCTGAGATAACTGTTTGCTTGAAAGACGACCATTGGAATGTGTTTCAGGGTTAGGGAGGAAAGATTTACTTTCCAATAAAAGCAAAAATTTGAAGTTTTTAAGTGTCTAAGCCAAATTAAGGCCCAAATGGCAAAAATAATGTCATATTTGGAATCAGAACGGTCATAATAGTCAAATAGCATTAAAAAACACGAAACCAAAGCATTTCACATGGACTCAAATCTGGCAATTTTGGTGGCTGAACGTGATAATATCACGAATTTGATGCGATTTGAAACCAAAATAAACTTTTTTTATCTTTAACTTTTTAACAAAAGCAAAAATTGGAGGTTTTTAAGAATCTATAAGCTAAATTAAGGCCCAAATGTCCAGAATAATATTATATTTGGAATCAGGGAGGTAAAAATTGTCAAATAACATCGGAAAACACGAAACCAAAACATTTCACATGGACCCAAATCTGGCCATTTTGGTGGTTGAATGTGATAATATCACGAATTTGCACGGTTTGAATCAAAAATTATCTTTCTTTATCTTTAACTTTCCAACAAAAGCAAAAATTGGAGGTTTTTAAGTGTCTATAAGCTAAATTAAGGCCCAAATGGCTTAAATAATGTCATATTTGGAATACGGGTGGTCAAAGTAGTAAAAAAATATCGGAAAACACGAATCCAAAACATTTCACATGGACCCAAATCTGGCAATTTTGGTGGCTGAACCTGATAATATCACGAATTTTAGTGGCAGAATGTGCTAATATCATAAATTTAATACGATTTTTCTATCAGGACATATTTTGGATAAGAAATAAACCTTTTTTATCTAAAATTTTTCAAGAATTTACAATAAAACATTGAAAAAAACTTGCTTTTTACTTTTTATTAGTTAGAAAATTATATATTTGTACATTTTTATGGCTTAAAGGACCAAATTAGAGTTATATTTGGGACCAGGGAGGCTGAAATGGCCAGAAAACATCATAAAATCCTAAACCAAAGCTTTTCACATGGACTCAAATCTGGCATTTTTGGTTGTAGAAAAGTAACAAAATCGAAATTTTGAAAAAATTAAGGCCAAGATCATCAAGTCAAGACAAAATTAAGCAAGACCAAAACCAAATTAGTCAAATTTTGCAAACCAAAGCATTTCACATGGACCCAAATCTGGCAATTTTGGTGGCAGAATGTGCTAATATCATGAATTTAATACGATTTTTCTATCAGGACATATTTTGAATAAGAAATAAACTTTCTTTATCCGGACTTTTAGAATAAAACCTTGAATAAACTTGTATCTTTTGCTTTTTATTAGTTAGATAATTATATATTTCTACATTTTTCTTATTTAATGGACCAAATTTCAAAACATCATAAAATTGTAAACCAAAGCCTTTCCATGGACTCAAATCCGGCTAATTTGGGGTCAAAAAAAGCAAAAACATTAATTTTGTCATTTATGACCACTAAATAATTGAAATGATGATAAAATTAATAAACTAGGCCAGGGGTACGTCCTCGGACCTATTAAACTGTCATTTTTTATCACCCATTCATTATTGTGTTAATTTTTATTTCAATTTCATTAGTTAGGACATTTTTTTGTGATCAAGTGTACATTTTTTGACATTTTGCGCGTCATGTGGGTACACTACTTTCACCCCCGACTGTACCTAAACCAAATTTAGACATTTTTCGCAATATCGAACGCTTTTAATTGCAACAATAAATTAAAAATGTCACAGCAAATGAAACTCTTGATATTTTTTAATCTTTTTGGAATTTTTCTTAGGGTCTGAAATATGTCTGAAATAACGTCAACTGTGACAAATATCATTTCATTTCGTCTAACAACTTCACATGAACGTCTCTTCTTAATGTTATTTATCACCGCCAACTTGATTTGAACTGAAACTTAATTGATTTAATTAATTTTTTTTTCAGGTGGAAGTGGGAGATGTCATCCTGAAAGTGAATGAAACTGACGTGAATCGTTTCAGTACGAAAGAAGGTAAAGTAGTTTCCTGTTTATTTCAGTGTAAATAACGTTTTTCTCTCTCTTATTCACATTTTTGAGCACTAAATTTTGTTGGAGAAATTTTTTTTCTCACTTTAGCGAACTAAAAAATTGGTTTGAGACGCTTTTGTTAATTTATTAACGCTCTATATTTTGCTTTTCAGTTTTAAAATGCCTACGATTATCGTCAGATCCTGTAACACTAAAAATAAAACGTGGTAAGACACCGTTTTTGCTTCGATTGTTTTTTTTGAGGAAGTTTTTGAGGGATTTTGAGGGGGAATTTTGTTGGCACAAATCATTTTTCACCTCATGTATTGTTATTTTGACGTAAAATAAATTATTATCATTATTTTAGCGTTTCAATATACTCGAAACTAATAATTTTTGCAAAAATTGCGAACTAAAGTCAACAAGAATTAAAAGTCGGCGCCATTTTCCAATATGGCGCTTCAAAAAAATTATGAAAAAATATATCGCTAATCAGGAAATAACACAATACAAAAAAATTTACTACAAAAAAATAAAAAAACAAAAATGGACGCCATTTTCCAATATGGCGCATAGAAAGTCATACAATGAGAAAATATAAAAAAAAAATAATGAATAAAATTGATGAAGAATATGAGAGAAAATATGTTTTAAGTGCGCCATTGTCCAATATGGCGCTTCAAAAAAATAGTGAGAAAAATATATTAGATAAAGAAAATACAAAAAAAAAGTTAATGAAAAAGATTTATAAAGAATATGTGAGAAAGCATATTTCAAGTACGCCATTTTCCAATATGGCGGGAGAAATCATGAATTTCAACAATAGATACGGCGACCCAAAAACAATACTGAAATCCATTATCCAATATGGCGCATAAAAAAGCATAGAAAGTCATAAAGTAGTGAGAAAAATATATAAGTAGATAAGGAATGAGAAAACACACAAAAATGATAATGAACAAGTTTGATAAAGAATTTCTAGTGCGCCATTTTTCAATATGGCGCTTCAAAAAAGTAGTGAGAAAATACAGAAGTAGATAAACAGTGAGAAAATACGAAAACTTGATTAAAAAAAAAACATAAAGAATGTGAGAGAATCTATTTTTCGAGCGCCATTTTCCAATATGGCGTACTTAAATTGAGAGAAATCATGAATTTTAACAATGGATGGGACATTTTCTAAATTGCGACCCAATAACAAGCTATATAGTATAAAAAATAGAAATTCGTTAAGTAGGCGCCATTTTACAATATGGCGGTTCATACAAAAAAAAGTAGAAATCAAAATTTGAATGAAATTAAAATAAAAATTGCGGAAAAAGCTGTTGAGTGATTTCAGACGCCATTTTATAATATAGTTGTTTGCGAAATAATGAAAAAAAATAAAGTAAAAGGCCGGTAAGTAGCAATTCAAATTGTAATAAAATTAAAAAAAAAACTTATTTAAATAATAAGATAAGGTAATAAGAAAGATAATAAAGTCGAAAAAATGATAATATTTGAGCTTCAGGCGCCATTTTTTAATATAGCTACAAAATAAACAAAAAAAGACCAAAATTAATGTAAAAATTAGTAAAATAAAACTGAAATGAAAAAAAAAAGAAAATGAAAAACACGAATTGTGGTAGCCATTTTCTACATGGCTTCTCAAAATAAAGACAGTTTAAAAAGAAAATATGTTTTTTGGGACAGCTTTGAATATAATTTTACACGCCATTTTTCAATATGGCGGCTTAAAATTTTCAAAATCGTTAAATATATGATAATATTTGAACCGCCATTTTTTTAAAGAATATTATGTAAAATAAACAAAAAAAGCTAATTTTGAAGGGAAAATCAACATAAAAATTAGCAAAAAAAAACAAAATTCGTAAGAAAACATGAAATCACGAATTCTGGCGGCCATTTTCTTACATGTCTTTCAAAATCTCAAAATAAAAGATAATAAACGAGAGAAAACAAAATGATTTTGAATATAAATTTGGACGCCATTTTCCAAAATTTTGGCGCGAAATTTAAAAATCACTGTTTAAAAAATAAAAAATGGTAATGAACAAGATTGATAAAGAATTTCTAGTGCGCCATTTTCCAATATGGCGCTTCAAAAAAGAAGTGAAAAAATACAGAAGTAGATAAACAGTGAGAAAATACGAAAAAATGATTATGAAAAAAAAACAAAGAATGTGAGAGGAGCTATTTTTCGAGCGCCATTTTCCAATATGGCGTACTTAAATTGGGAGAAATCATGAATTTTAACAATGGATGGAACATTTTTCAAAATGGCGACCCAAAAACAAGCTATATAGTATAAAAAATAGAAATTCGGTAAGTAGGCGCCATTTTACAATATGGCGGTTTATACAAAAAAAAACTATATACGGTAATATTTAATATGGCTACAAAATAAACAAAAAAAGACCAAAATTAATATAAAAAGTAGTAAAATAAAAGTGAAATGAAAAAAAAAAGAAAATGAAAAACACGAATTGTGGTAGCCATTTTCTAACATGGCTTCTCAAAATAAAGACAGTATAAAAGAAAATGTTTTTTAGTTACGAAATAATTTTTTTGGGACAGCTTTGAATATAATTTTACACGCCATTTTTCAGTATGGCGGCTTAAATTTTCAAAATCGTTAAATATATGATAACATTTGAACCGCCATTTTTTTAAAGAATATTATGTAAAATAAACAAAAAATGCTAATTTTGCAAGGAAAATCAACATAAAAATTAGCAAAAAAACAACTATGAAATCACGAATTGTGGCGGCCATTTTCTTACAAAATCTTAAAATAAAAGATAATAAAAGAGAGCAAACAAAATAATTTTGAATATAAATTTGGACGCCATTTTCCAAAATTTCGGCGCGAAATTTCAAATCGCTGCTTAAAAAATAAAATTCCCCAAAAACGGCTCGATTGTTTTTGTCGAAACTTGACACTTTAATGGCTGCCAACACAATTTCTCACCTCAGAATCCCCCTATTTCCCTTCTTTAATTATTTTCTCCAAAATGTCTCTCTTTGTCAAGATCCGAAAATCAAAGCGACCGTTCGCAAGCACCTCCTCTCTGTGGGCGGCGACAGCGCCGCCCCCCGTCCCCGCCCCGGCCCCCTGGTCCACCAGAGCCATGTCCGCAACGGCAGCTGCCCCCCCGAACAGCAATCCCTCCTCTCCGCCCCCGACGACGACAACGACCGCCTCCAATGGGAGCCTTTGGCAGCTAGCGACAAAAAGCCCACCAAACCCAAATTCGAGGCTTACATGATGACCGGCGAGCACATCCTCAACATCTCGCGCATGCCTAAACAACAAAAAAAGGTCACTTGATTTTCACCAAAAATTCACAATTTGACAGTTGAATTGTCAAAAAAACGGCGTTTTTACTCGCAGATTGAGAGTTTGAGGTACCACAACAGCCACACCCATCATCTACGCCACCAGCAACAACACAATTCGGTGCCAAACAGTCCCAACGAAATGGATATGGGCTCGAAGGGCAACCATCACCATTGCAATTCGGCCAATACTTCGCCCGTGAGTGCCAACAAATGGGATTCTACCCACCCATCGCCGGGCTCGGGTGATGGGTCAAAGTACAGCAATTTCGTACGGACGAGTCGATCAGAGGATCAATTACAACCACAAAATTGTGGCATTAGTGCTGGAAATATTGATGCAGACGATGACGATATCACCAGCTCGCTGAACACGCTTTTAGACACACGACCCGAGTCCGTCAGCGCCTCGGGGGACAGGTAAACGATAGAGTCGACAATTTGCTACAATCTGGTGAAAAAAACATACAAATCGGACCAGTGGTTCCCGAGTTATAGACTAAAACGTGTTTCGGACGCCATTTTCCAATATGGCGACTTGTTACTTCTTTTAATTGTTTTTATTTGAATCGTAATCAAATCGGGTCACAGTTCGAGTAATTTAAGACGAGGGAAGTTTCGGCCGCCATTTGCCAATATGGCGACACAAAATGGCGTCCGATCAAATGGCTATATTATCAGTTTTGCGTAAATCAACAATCTGGTGAAAAAATCATCGAAATTAGACTAGCCGTTGTCGATTTATAAGCTAAAACGTGTTTCGGACGCCATTTTCCAATATGGCGACTCGTTACTTCTTTTAATTGTTTTTATTTAAATTGTATTCAAATCGGGTCACAGTTCGAGTAATTTAAGACGAGGGAAGTTTCGGCCGCCATTTGCCAATATGGCGACTCAAAATGGCGTCCTATCAAATGTCTATATTGTTATTTTTATTAATTCTTGACTATTTTGCGAAAATTAACCATCTAGTAAAAAAAATCGAAATCGGATCAGCCGTTTTCGGGTTATAAGCCAAAACGTGTTTCGGACGCCATTTTTCTTGTTACTTCTTTTAATTGTTTTTATTTAAATGGTAATCAAATCGGGTCACAGTTCGAGGAATATAAGACGAGGGAAGTTTTGGCCGCCATTTGCCAATATGGCGACTCAAAATGGCGTCGAATCAAATGTCTATATTGTTATTTTTATCAATTCTTGACTATTTTGCGAAAATTAATCATCTGGTGAAAAAGTTATTGAAATCGGATGCCGTTTTCGAGTTATAAGCCAAAACGTATTTCAGCCGCCATTTTCCAGTATGGCGACCTGAAACTTTTTTCTTATTTTTTTGTATCTTAATATAGTAAAATTAGGTCACAGCTCGAGTAATCTAAGACGAGAGAGAAGTTTCGACCGCCATTTGCCAATATGGCGTCTCATAATGGCGTCCAATCAAATGTTTATATTATTATTGTTATTATTTCTTAACTGTTTTGCGAAAATCAACAATCTGGAACGGATTTTTGAGTTTTTGAGTTATTTCAGGCGCCATTTTCCAATATGGCGACTTAAAACTTCTTTCTTATTTTTTTTTATTTCTACTGTTGGAATAATATAAGACAAAGAAGTTTTGGCCAATATGGCGATCCAAAATGGCGTCTCGCCATTTTCTAGAATTGTATTTTTTTTGTAGTGACCGCATCGTGTGGACGTACAACGCCCCGCCAACCGGCGACCACCATAAATTCTGCCACACCCTCTCCAATGGTAGCAGTTCGTCCCATAGTAACACCTCCCCATCGTCCAGCCCTCTTCATTCCGGTTCGCCGGCGTCTCCCACATCGGTGTCTTCCTCGGTGATGTCTAGCCAATCAGGTTCGCGTCGACTTCCGTATACGCCTACTGGAGGCGTGGTTGCACCGCCCACTAACGGCGATTTTAGCGTATCGGAAGCCATTTCGAACATCTCAAGTCCGGATTATCACGATGATGATAGTATGGGTATCAGAGATTGCGTGATGGAGATTAGTGATCATAGTGATAGTGATAGTACGCTTTTGGTTTCTGAACCAAGACAAAGGCAGAATAGTGATCATAGAATAGTGATACAAGTTAAAGGACCGGATAATCGAGGAAAAACCTGTGATAGTCAGGTGGGTCAAGGGGAGGGGCTAGTTTCAGACACGCCCCCAAAAAAATTTTTTTGATTGAAAATCACGTGACAAAACATATAGGACGCCATTTTTCAATATGGCGTTTCAAAATGGACAACTTTGACTATTTTTTCGAGTTAGAAAGTAGGGTTTAGTAGAAATTGATTTAAATTACATATCAATTTAAGAAATTTGGCCGACATTTTTTAATATGGCCGACTAAACCATATTTAAATATATCATAAAACAAAAAATAAAAAGGTTAAATTGATAAAAAAAAATAAAAATTATATATTTACGGTCTTGAAATGTAGTCACAAATATAAAATTCTAGCGCCATTTTGCAATATGGCGTCTTAAAATGTACGACGACTCGTTTTTCTAATGAATACAAATGAAAATTGCAAAAATTAAAAACACAAATGAAAATAGTAATATTAGTATTTGGGTGCCATTTTTCAATATGGCGGTTCAAAATGGCTGAAATAAACCATTCTTGCAAAAAATGAAGTACATAAGAGAAAATTAATAAATTCATGATTTTTTGAAATATAGACATATATACAAAATTCTGACGCCATTTTTTAAAAATGGACGACAACTTGTTTTACTAATGAATATAAAAATACAAAGCGATAAAAATTGTAAGAATTGGAGATTTATTTGGTTAGGAACAACAATATGTCAGCGCCATTTTTCAATATGGCGTTTCAAAATGGAGGTCATTATCTGTTTTCACACGAATGAGAAATAGAAAGCGATTAAAATTATTATAGACATTGAAAATTTAACTTAATTAACAATATGACAGCGCCATTTTTTAAAATGGCCGATATTATTATTTTTTTGAAATGTACAAACCAGCGATTTTGTTTTTCAAAGTAGAATAGTGAATATACAAAGTGTTTAGATTTCGTTTTGTTTTTTGTTTTTCCAGTGAATATAAAAATACAAAGCGATAAAAATTATTAAATAACCAATAATATGTCAGCGCCATTTTTCAACATGGCCTCTCAAAATAGACACATCTATTTCCACAATGAATTAAAAACAGAAGGCGATAAAAATTATTATAGAAATTTAAAATTGAATTACGAATTAACAAAATGACAGCACCATTTTTAAAAATGGCGGCTCAAAATGGCCGAAATTAAAATTTTTACAAAAAATTAAATTTTTTCAAGTACAAAACAGGGATTTTATCTTTTAATATGGAATAATAAATATACAGAGAATAATGAATACACTGGGTGTTTCTATTTGGTTTTGGGTAATAAACAAACTTTGAATCAACAATACGCCATTTTTCAATATGGCGTCTCAAAACCTATTTTCACAATGAATCAAAAATGGAAAGCGATAAAAATTATTATAGAAATTGAACATTGAATTACGAATTAACAATATGTCATCGCCATTTTTAAAAATAGCCTCTCAAAATGTCCAAAATAAAAATTTTTGCGAAAAATTAAATTTCAATATGGAATAATGAATATACAGGGTGTTTCTATTTAGTTTTGAATCTACAATATGTCAGCGTCATTTTCCAATATGGCATTTCAAAACCTATATAACAATATGTCATCGCCATTTTTAAAAATGGCGGCACAAAATGGCCAAAATTATAATTTTTGCAAAAAATTAAATTTTTTGAAATACAAAACACGGAGTTTATCTTCCAATATGGAATAATGAATATACAGGGTGTTTCTATTTAGTTTCAAATGAACAATATATCATTTTTCAACATGGCGTCTCAAAACCTATTTTCATAATGAATCAAAAACGGAAAGCGATAAAAATTATTATAGAAATTGAACATTAAATTACGAATTAACAATATGTCATCGCCATTTTTAAAAATGGCAGCACAAAATGGCCGAAATTAAAATTTTTGCAAAAAATTAAATTTTTTGAAGGACAAAACACGGATTTTATTTTCCAATATGGAATAATCAATATACAGGGTGTTTCTATTTAGTTTTGAATCAATAATATGTCAGCGTCATTTTCCAATATGGCGTCTCAAAACCTATTTTCATAATGAATCAAAAACGGAAAGCGATAAAAATTATTATAGAAATTGAAAATTGAATTACGAATTAACAACATGTAAGCGCTATTTTAAAAAATGGCGGTTCAAAATGGCCGAAATTGAAATTTTTGCAAAAAATTAAATTTTTTCAAGTACAAGAGAGGGATTTTATCTTCCGATATGGAATAATGAATATACAGGGTGTTTCTATTTAGTTTTAAATGAACAATATGTCAGGTCATTTTCCAATATGGCGTCTCAAAACCTATTTTCATAATGAATCAAAAACGGAAAGCGATAAAAATTATTATAAAAATTGAACATTAAATTACGAATTAACAATATGTCAGCGCCATTTTTAAAAATGGCGGCACAAAATGGCCGAAATTGAATTTTTTGCTAAAAATTAAATTTTTTCAAGTACAAGACAGGGATTTTATCTTCCGATATGGAATAATGAATATACAGGGTGTTTCTATTTAGTTTGAAGTTTTTTTTTCATTTTTTTTATAGAACGAAATGGTCGAACAGGCCGACCTTGACGAGGACGGCGCCCGAAACCCTTCACCACAGTCGTCCGAAGACGAAAGTGACGTCGAAAGTCTCCATAGTTTTCATTATTCACCAAAAGCGGTCGATTTACCTTCGGCCATCCGATTGGCTAAACGACTCTACAGTCTTGACGGTTTCAAAAAATCGGACGTTTCTCGACATCTGAGCAAAAAGTACTACTTTATCGTCCTAGGCATTTTTACTTTTTTTCACTATATATTTGTGTTTTAGTAACGATTTTAGTCGCGCTGTTGCCGAAGAATACCTAAAATATTTCAATTTTGAAAACGACACTCTAGATATAGCCCTACGAAAGTTCCTCAAACAATTTTCTCTCACCGGCGAAACGCAGGAACGCGAGAGAGTTTTGGTTCATTTTTCTAAGAGATATTTAGACTGCAATCCTGGTTCTTTTAATTCGCAAGGTTTGGCAACGTTTTGTTTGATTTTATACTTGTAGAAAAAATAATGTATGTGATTCTAGATGCGGTACATACGTTGACGTGCGCCATCATGTTGCTCAATACGGATCTACATGGACAGAATATCAGCAGGAAAATGACCTGCAATGAGTTTATCGAGAATTTATCAGGATTAAATGAGCAGGAAAACTTCCCGAGGGATGTTCTTAAGGCGCTGTATCACGCTATCAAGAATTATCCCCTGGAATGGGCACTGTAAGTAAAATTACAGGTTTCTGCAATTTTCAATTTTACGTTGCCACTAGTGGAACCAAATTTTTTTGGCCAACGAGGTAGCCAAATTTTTTAATTTTACATTCGGTAGTTAATTTTTGTAGTAAACTGAGGAATTAATTAATTTTTTAATCGAAAATTTTGATATTTTCAATTTTTGACTATGACTTATTACAGTTTTCTGTAATTTTTGATTTTTTGCCAATCAATAGAAAATTAATCTTTTTACAGAGAATTAAATTCTTTTTTTAAATAAATGGATGGATTTTTGCTCATTACAGATTTCTATAATACCGACTTTTAGTAATTCTCTCAAACTCGGAACAGAAGGTTTTTTTCATTATTTTTGCTAATTACAGTTTTCTGTAATTCAGCGACTTTGTCATAGCCAACATTAATTTTTATATTTATTTTCGTAACCAATTGAGGAACCGAATTTTTGATATTCGATAAGTAAACATTTTGAAACATTTTTCAAGGTCATAGCTAACTAATCCACTTTTTTAATAGGAAAATTCTGAAAATTTTACTGCTTTTTGACTATACTTTGCTTTATTTATTTTTTGTTTTTGATCTTACTTTGATTACAGTTTCCTGTAATTTATTATGTGCTATATCTAATTTTTGTTTTTTTAAAATCTGGAAACAATTTTTTTCAAAATTACCTTAAACCGCAGAACTAAATTGTTTTGTTTTTGTCATTTTTGTGTTGTATACTTTATTTTTTCTGCACGACTTGGTTTGTAATTACTTAAAAATAGTTTTTTAAACAGATTTTTTTTAGATTATTTTTCTTTTTCTACCATTTTTAACACAATATTTTGCTTTTTTCTTTATTCTTTGTGTTTTCGACCTTAATTTAGTTACAGTTTCCTGTAATTTGCTGTGTGCTATATTTAGTTTTTGATTTTTTTTTTAATCTGAAAACATATTTTTTCAAAATTTCTTTAAACCGCAGAACTAAATTGTCTTATTTTTGACATTTTTGTCCTGTATACTTTATTTTTTGGTTTATAATTACTTAAAAATAATCTTTTTAACTGATTCTTTTGGATTATTTTTCTTTTTCTACCATTTTTAACACAATACTTTGCTTTTTTTCTTTTTTCTTTCTGTTTTCGATCTTAATTTAGTTACAGTTTCCTGTAATTTACTATGTGCTATATCTAGTTTTTGATTTTTTTTTTAAATCTGGAAACATATTTTTTCTAAATTGTTTTGTTTGTTTTTGTCATTTTTATCCCGTATACTTTATTTTTTGTTTTATAATTACTTAAAAATAGTTTTTTTAACTGATTCCTTTGGATTATTTTTCTTTTTCTACCATTTTTAACACAATACTTTGCTTTTTTCTTTTTCCTTTTGTCTTCAACCTTAATTTAGTTACAGTTTCCTGTAATTTACTATGTGCTATATCTAATTTTTGTTTTTTTTTTTAATTTTTGAAACTTATTTTTTCAAAATTATGTCTTGTATACTTAATTTTTTTTTACTCGAATCACTTAAAAACAGTTTGTTTTCTTAGTACAGTTACAGATTTCTGTAATTTTTTTTTCACTTATTTACATACTTGATTTTTTCCACTTTCCAGCGACGAGGATGCTGAAGATGGCGCCACCCAAATGCCGAAACCTGGCGAACAAATCGGCGCGAATCCCTTTTTGGACGTTCCGATGTCCTCGAATGCCATCGAATACAAGAAAGGTTACGTCATGCGTAAATGCTGTTACGAGGCCAACGCCAAACGAAGTGAGTGTCTTAAATTTTTCACAAGCAACACGAGAATTTGTCAAAAACGTGATTTTCACATTTTTGACAAATGTAAAAAACGTGTAGAGATTTAGTTTGAATCTGCACAGCATGTTGCAATACAAAATAGCTGTTTCGAAGGCCTTTGCTGCATTTTTCTAGCACCGTTTCACAAGCGTAGCTGGAAGATGTTTTATTGTACATTGCGGGATTTGGTGTTGTATCTTCACAAGGACGAAAACGGCTTCAGGAAGAACCAAATGGGTGATAATTTCCATAATGCGATAAGGATACATCATGCATTGGCCACCAAAGCCAACGATTATACGAAGAAGATGTTCGTTTTTAGGTTACAAACCGCCGATCAGGCTGAATATTTATTTCAAACTGGGTAAACAAATTTTTTTTTTTCGAATTGATTTTTTTTTATGTTGGTAATTGTAGTGACTCGAAGGAATTGCAATCGTGGATTGATACGATTAATTTTGTGGCGGCTAGTTTCTCGGCAGCTCCGCTAGAGGCCGCTGTTGGGTCGCAAAAGAAGTTTCAAAGGCCGCTCTTGCCATGTAGTCACACCAAATTAAATATGGTAATTGAGTTTGTTTTATTTAGCGGTGCCAACGACGGAAACGAATTTTTACAATTACAGGTTTCTGTAATTTTTTTCTTGGTTCCAACGAGGGAAACGAATTTTTTTTTTTATTTACTTTAAATTTCTTACCGAAAATGTTATTTTAACCGTTTTAAGTGAGTTTTGTGCACTTGATAAATTCTTTTCTGGAGGCTAATTTTCTTTCAATTTTATTTCTACAAATCTTATTATTATGACCAACGAAGGAACTTAATTTTTTTCAAATAAAGACCTTTATTTAAATATTTTATTTTTCAAGCTTAATGTATAATTTTTGATTTGTGTTTATTATTGCCAACAAAGTAAACAAATTTTTGATTAAAAAACCGTTAGTTACCTTGTTGGCAGTGATTGTCTAATTGTTTGACCTGTGATTTTCATTGCCAACGAAGTAAGCAAATTTTGTGTACTTGATAGACAGCATAATTTTTTTATGACTTTTAATTACCATGACCAATGAAGAAACTCAATTTTTTCGAAATTAAAAACTTTTATGCAAACATTTTTGTATAGATTGTCAAAACAGTTTGTTTAGTTTTTTTGATTTGTGTTTTTGCTGCCAACGAAGTTTACAAATTTTTGATAATTTTTTTCGAACAATTTTACTTTAGTTTTTTTTGTTTCATTGTGTTTTATTTTAATAAATTACAGGAATCTGTAATTTGGGGCGTTTATAAAATAAAAAAAATTGTTTCTCCAGTTGGCAATGATAAATAGTTTTACATTTTTTTAACGGTCTGCTTTGCATATCTTTTTGCATTTTTGATGATGGATTACAGATTTCTGTAATTTGTGTAAATGTAATTTATTTGTTGTAAAGAAAAACGAATAATTACAGAAAGCTGTAATTAATCATATAACAATATTTTTTTTTGGATCAAATTCCTTTTTTTTTTTTTTTTTTTTTTTGGTTCCAACGAGGGAAACATTTTTTTTTTTTAATAAATATTAGAGATTTTTTTATTCACTTTAATTTTCTTACTTAATTACTACTGAAAATGTTATTTTAACCGATTTAAGCGAACTTTCTGCACTTGAATTTTTTTTTGTGGCTAATGGGGGAATTATTTTTTTTTAATTTTATTTTTCTGGATTCTATTATCATGACCAACGAAGAAACTTAATTTTTTTGATATTAACAATTTTTATGCAAATATTTTATTTTTCAAGGTTTTTGTATAATTTTTGATTTGTGTTTATTACTGCCAACGAAGTAACCAAATTTTTGGTAAAAAAAACCGTTTTCTATCTTGTTAGCACTGATAAAATCATTGTCATTGTCTAATTTTTTGAGCTGTAATTTTCATTGCCAACAAAGTAAACAAATTTTGTGTACTTGATTGACACTAAAATCTTTTTTTTTGTTAATTTTAATTATCATGACCAACGAAGAAACTCAATTTTTTCGTTATTAAAATTTTTTATTCAATAATTTTTTTATTTTTACGAATTTTATTATCATGACCAACGAAGGAGGTTAAGTTTTTCGAAATTAAAATTTTTTATACAAATATTTTATTTTTCAAGGTTTTTGTATAATTTTTGATTTGTGTTTATTACTGCCAACGACGTAACCAAATTTTTGGTAAAAAAAAACCGTTAGCTATCTTGTTGGCACTGATAAAATGATTGTCATTGTCTAATTTTTTGAGCTGTAATTTTTATTGCCAACAAAGTAAACAAATTTTGTGTACTTATTGACAACAAAATCCTTTTTTTCGCGAATTTTAATTATCACGACCAACGAAGGAACTCAATTTTTTTGAAATTAAAATCTTTTATGCAAACATTTTTGTGTTTATAGTTTTTAAAAATAATTGATTTAATTTTTTGATTTGTTTATTGTTGCCAACGAAGTATACAAATTTTTTATAATTTTTTTCGAACAATTTAGGTTTTTTTTTCATTGTTTTTTATTCTGAATAAATTTAAGGAGCGTTTATAAAATAAAATAAATTGTTTCTTCAGTTGGCAATGATAAATAGTTTTACATTTTTTTCAACGGTCTGCTTTGCGAAGACACCATTTTATTAGTTTTTTTGCATTTTCATGATGAATGGATTTATTTGTTGATTTTTTACGGTAAAGAAACACGAATAATTACAGAAATCTGCAATTAATCAAATAACAATATTTTTTTTGAATTTCATTTTTACGAGTTTTATTATCATAACCAACGAAAGAACTCATTTTTTCGCACTTGCAGTCATTTTTGTATAGTTTAAAAAAAAGTTTTGTTTAATTTTTTGATTTGTGTTGCCAACGAAGTATACAAATTTTTGCAAATTTTTTTCGAACAGTTTGAATTCAGTTTTTTTGTTTCATTGTTTTTCATTCTGAATAAATTACCAACGAAGAAAGTTAATTTTTTCGAAATTAAAATTTTTTATGCAAATATTTTATTTTTCAAGCTTCTTCTATAATTTTTGATTTGTGTTTATTACTGCCAACGAAGAAAACAAATTTTTGGTAAAAAAAACCGTTAGTTAAATGATTGTCATAGTATAATTTTTTGAGCTGTAATTTTCATTGCCAACGAAGTAAACAAATTTTGTGTACTTGATAGACATCAAATTCCTTTTTTTTTGCTAATTTTAATTATCATTTTTTCGAAATTAAAAACTTTTATGCAAACATTTTTGTAAGTATAGTTTAAAAAAAAAAAGGTTATTTAATTTTTTGATTTGTGTTTATTGTTGCCAACGAAGTATAAAAATTTTTGATAATTTTTTTCGAACAATTTGAATTTAGTTTTTTTGTTTCATTGTTTTTTATTCTGAATAAATTACAGGAATCTGTAATTTGGGGTGTTTATAAAATAAAAAAAAAATGTTTCGTCAGTTGGCATTGATAAATAGTTTTACATTTCTTCAACGGTCTGCTTTGTAAATTAGTTTTTTTTTTTGCAATTTTTTGGATTACAGATTTCTGTAATTTGTGTAATTGTAATGTGTTTGTTATTTTTTATGGTAAAAAAACGAATAATTACAGAAATCTGTAATTAATCATAAATAACAATTTTTTTTGATCAAATTTGTTATTGTTAAATTGGTCAAAAATCTGCGAAAAAAAATTTGTTTCCTCCGTTGGCCCCGAAAACCAGTTTTTCCGGTAGTAGAAAAAATCAATGTTTTCCAGCGTGAGCAACTACGCGACCACGAGGAGAGAGTACTCAGACTGGAATCCGACTTGGAGGAGCACCGTAAATCGCCCCCCGACAAAGGCTCCAAGTCTTTAGTCGTCCAAAACTACAAAGAGAAAGAATCCTATTTGACATTCGAGGTACCGCCCCCTAACCACGCCCCCCCCCAATTTTTAATCACATGACCAATAGGTGAAACGCTACCGCACCTACTCGTACATCCTTCGTTCGCGTATCGCCCAATTCGTGGAGCCCCACCCAATAAGCCTCGTCGAGAACAGCATCGGCGAGGTGGACGAAGCCGCCGCTGGACCAATGGAAACGGGAGGCGTGGTCGTCCCGCCCCCTATTCCCGACAGGCCCGCCCCCTCCACCAATAGGTATAGTTACAGACAGGCAATTTACAACGGCGATGCTGACATTGGCTGACGCGTCATGGGGGTGTTCTCGGCATGTGTGCTTTGACAGTTGGGACGCTTGTCGTTTGTTTTTGGTGGTGGAATGGCTTGAGAGCACCCTGAAAAAAAAAAAAAAAAAAAAAAAAAAACTTGCGGGGTTTCCCCCGAAAAGTGCAATTGTAGGGTCGTGGCGGGAATATTTATTATAGGTTAGGGGCTGTGAAATATGTCTTTTAGGTAGAAATGTAATTGTATTCATGTTGTTGACTTGTTTTCAATCGGAATAGTTGAAATATTATCTCTGAATAAACAATTGAAACGATTCGTTTTTTAGGTGTAGTTTTTCTGTGCACATTATGTACTTCCCCCGAATTTGCGACGCAAGGTTGGTGCTCATTTCTTCTATTTTCTTCTAAAAACTCACCAAATGCTTGCCTAATCGCATGGCTTGGGTCTAGAATGCATGATAGTTGTTTTGTCTTCTTCTTTTTTTTGTCCATAACACACTTGATACTAATTTTTTTTTATTGCATGGTAGGAGAGGCCCCGAATGAAGATAGATGATTGGAGTTAAAATTTTGTGCCGATTTTACCAAAGAAAATTTCGAACGAAAAATCACCGCGCTTGCTATTTTATGTATAAAAATGTAGCTTTTATGTAAATTTTTATTTTAAATACACTACATATTATTTATGTATATTGTTGAATCAATAAAATGACCAAATGTTTATACCCGAAATGTGCACTTGACTCCCTACCCTTGGATGCCGTAGCTGCATGATCGGTAATTACAGTTTCCTGTAATGACACCTGTCAGGCGGGACTTTATTTCCCCTAACCAACGGAGGAAACAATTTTTGTTTGGTAGGAAATCTGGTTTAGATGCACGTTTTGCAAATAAATAAATGAGAAAGAAAAAAAACGGTAAGTTGACTTTTTCAATTTTTATTACCAACGCAGTAAACAAATTTTGTGTTCTTGAAGACACCGTAATCCTTTTTTGTGAATTTTAATTATCATGACCAACGAAGGAACTTAATTTTTTCGAAATTAAAGACTTATGGAAACATTTCATTTTTTAAGATTTTTTGCAGTTTTTTAAAAAAGTTTGCTTAATTTTTATTTGTGTTTATTGTTGCCAACAAAGTATACAAATTTTTGCTAGATTTTTTACAAACAATTCGAATTTGGTTTTTATAAAACTTTTTCTTCATTGTTTTTTATATTTTGCGTTAATTATCATAGGTAGAAATTGCAAGTTAAAAAATAATATTGGAAAATTTGATTCTTCAGTTGGCAGTGATAATCTTTTATTTTCCCTAACCAACGGAGGAAACAATTTCTGTTTGGTAGAAAATTTTGGTTTAGATGCATGTTTTGCAAATAAATAAATAAGAAAGAAGGAAAAAAACGGTAAGTTGACTTTTTCAATTTTTTTAAACTTGTCCCAACAACGTTGTTTTTTGACTTGCGATTTTCATTACCAACGCAGTAAACAAATTTTGTGTACTTGAAAGACACCGTAATCCTTTTTTGTGAATTTTAATTATCATGACCAACGAAGGAACCCAATTTTTTTGACATTAAAAACTTTTTATGTATAGTTTGTTTAATATTTTGATTTCCAACGAAATTATAAAAATTTTTGACAATTTTTTCGAATAATTTTAATAGAATTTTTTGTTTCATTGTTTTTTACTTTGAATAAATTACAGGAATCTGTGATTTAGGGCGTTTATAAAATCAAAAAATTGTTTCTTCAGTTGGCAATGATAAATAGTTTTAAACTTTTTCAACGGTTTCTTTGCAGACACCATTTTTTATTTGATTTATTTTCACTTTTGACGATGAATGGATTACAGATTTCTGTAATTTGTGTAATTGTAATGTGTTTGTTGATTTTTAGCTGTTTCATAAGAAAAAAAAACGTTAATTATCTGATAAAATGATTGTCATTGTCCAATTTTTTGAGCTGTAATTTTCATTGCCAACGAAATAAACAAATTTTGTGTACTTAGACACTAAAATTCTTTTTTGTTTTTTATTGTTGCCAACTAAGTATACAAATTTTTGATAATTTTTTCGAATAATTTGAATTTATTGTTTTTTATTCTGAATCAAATAAAAATAAAATGTTGGTCATTGTCTCATTTTTTGACCTGTAATTTTCATAGCCAACAAAGTAACTGAATTTTGTGTAGTTGAAAGACACCATAATCTTTTATTTTCGGGAAATTCATCATGACCAACGATGGAATCAGTTTTTTAGAAAGTAAATTAAAACTTTTACACAACAGTTTGCTAAATTTTTTGGTTTCTGTTTATTGTTGCCAACGAAGTACACAAATTTTTGATATATGTTTTTTAAACAATTTGAATTTAGTTTTCATAAAACTTTTTCTTCATTGTTTATTAAGTCTTTCGTTAAAAATGATAGGTAAAAATTGCAAATTAAAGAATAATACTGGAAAATTTGGTTCTTCAGTTGGCAGTGATAATCAAACAAATAAATAAAAAAAGCAAGAAAAAACGGTAAGTTGATTTTTCTCACTTTTCGGGTTTTTATGATCCCAAGAGTGCAAAAAAACGTTATCTTGACATTTTGACTACAAAAAATCCATTTTTAAAAATTTGAAAATAAAAAATGAAATATAATAATAAGTCCAAAAATTAGCTTTATGAAACAAAAATTATGAAAATAAAAATTAAATAATTAAAAACAAAACAAAAAATTACAAAAACAAAAATACAAAAAAATAAAAATACAAAAATTCAAATTTTACGACCGGAAAAGAAAATTAAAAAAATTAAAATAAAAAATAAGTTAAAAAGCTACATTTTTTCTATCGAAAAAATAAAATAAATACATAAAAATTATTTAAAAAAAAAACGGTAAGTTGATTTTTCTCGTTTTTTTTTAAACTTGTCTAACAACGTTTTTGACACTTTTCGAGTTTCTATAACACTCAGCAGTGCAAAAAAAAACATTATTTTGACATTTTCCAATTTTTTGAAAATTTTTGTCGTTTTCTGGTCCCGTAGCGGTTTTTTGCCAATAACTCCGTAACCATTGGTGGTAGCCCCTTGTGTGGGGTACCATTGGAAAGCACGTTTAATTTCCCATCTTATGCAAAAAAAATCATCGAGTTTTGACGCATAATTACTGTGAAAATCGCCAATTTAGACAAAAACAATCAAAATCCATACTCGTCGCTAACTTCGAAACAGTCCGGAATTTTCCGGATTTCTCGGCACCAATCGATTCCCCGGAACGTTTTACGTACACACACATTCAAAAATTGTCAATCCGGGGTTTAATTTTGTCGTAATTAACCAAAATCTACAAGTCTTAATCTTATTGCGAAATCACAATATTTCGGTGTCAGTTTTGTTAAAAGAATAAATTTGTTTCAACTTACGTCATTTTAAGTATTTTTATACACTGATATGATTTTTATAGACAATTTTGATAATTTCATTGTATTTGACTGTGTATTTACTGGTTTACTCAAAGTTCTGATACAAGTCAGGTTGGCCGAGCGGTCTAAGGCGCCAGATTTAAGCTCTGGTTCTCGAAAGAGAGCGTGGGTTCGAACCCCACACCTGACAGTACTTTTTTCCTTTTTTTTTGTTTTTTTCCCATCAATTATTTAACCAATCCGCTTTTTTCACACTTCTGTGCCCTAATTTGATATTTTGACTTAATAAAACACAATTATTATTACAAAAATTATTTATGTCATTTTACTACCGGAGAAGTAAATTAAAAAAAAAATAAAATTATGATATTAAAATGGGAAAATTAAAAAAAAAAGTGAACAAATTACAAAAACAAAAATACAATAAAATTAAAAATACAAATTACAAAATACACCATTTTACGAAT